GTAAGAAGTCAAGTTGCGTCACATCCCGTAGTTTTCCAGGTTTGATGTTTGTAATAAGTGCAACTCGACGGTTCTGTGCAAAGTGCAACATCAAACAGCAGGAAAACAAAAGTTAATTACAATTCAAAACAAATACTGTCAATCACCACACTTGGTTAGATAACTACATTACCGTTAACTCATCAAGACTGCAGTACTTTGCCAAACCACTGACAACCTGCCGCAATTTGGCGTCGCCAACGTCTATCTCCTCAACTAGCAAACTGCATTATTTAATTTTATAGATACATCAATGTTCATCTAAACAGATGTCAAGCATATCAAAGTACTGAAGCATCAACTCGATGGCCGAAAATTTAACATTGCTTTTAATTATAAGATTATTTGGTAGGTTTGCCAAAGTACCTATCTGCTGATGGATGCTTCCATGCTTTACGAATTAATCCAACTTGAATATTAAGCAAACTGACACTAAGTTCATTCTCTTTCTCGGCTACCTCTTTGCCAGCAGCAGGTTTTGTGGCTTTTGCCTTGGCTTTGACTTTAGCAGGTTCAGTGTCTCCTGCGGACTTTCCATTAACCTTACAAAAATAAATGAGTTGAATTGTAAAGCCATGGTGAAACAACTGAGATGCAATTAGTAAGGTACAAAGAATAGGAGAAATAGTAAGTTGTAACACTCAGTCATTTCTAGCAACAGAAAACTGATTATCCACATAAGTAACAATTGTACTGAGATGCATTTTCATTCTTCTTTGTCAAGAACTGTCATCCCGGAATTAAAGTAGTATTAAAGTAATATTCAGAATTCAGATCATTTTACTATTCTTATTTTTAAGGCTAATATTCCTAATTTACCATTTCTTTAATTCAAAAACATTTAATGTTATTATTCTTAATATACCATCCATTTCAATTAAAAAAGAATGACTTATCCACTAAGTATAAAAAGGATAATTTAGTAATTTTACTTATGTGATGCATGAAATCTAAGAAACTAAACTCAACTGAATTTCTTAATCACCGTTGAATATAATTTAGAACATTTCAAGGTGAGCATGCCCATAATAGATCTATGATGAATATAATCTTACCATGTCGTGACATTAATAGTACCAAGATCAATTTTCAACTTTTAAAAATATTGAAGTATTGCGGCATTACATAAGGATCAAGATAGATGAGCATGCAATAATATCTACCGAACATGTGCAAAAATTCCTAGGCTAGTATAATTTTTCTCCAAAAAAGGCTTTATAACATTGTCAAGATCAAACTAGCATACTGTCAGATGTAATTATATAGGTTATCATACAATACAGTAAAATAAAAGCACTTCGTTAATAGATTCAAAAACCAGTTCCTGAAAAATAATGAGATTGACTTACCTCAGCTTTGTTTTTATCCTTGCTTATGTCTGTTTCTGGCTTGCTTGCATTCTTTATGCTTTGCTCAGGCTTGTTTGATTTTAAATCAGATTCCACGGCACTAACAGATTTTGTCGCCTAGAATAAAAATAATAAGAAAATGAAAAATTCGGTGCTTATTAAACTTGGCAAATCTCCCCTAATGATGTTTAAAAGTGCATAATAGTACTTCAAAATACATGAACACAAGCATGGAAACATTATTCTTTCAACAAGCTTTATATGAATTAAGACCAGAATCATGCAACCTAAGTATTACATGGAGATTGACTCCTATGTCAGAATCATTGGGTCTTGTTGACTACCATGTCAAAACCGTGAATATTCTTTACAAAATGGACCCAACAAGTATTAAAATTAGATAAGGAATATTTTCAAGGACTTATTTGAATATGTGATAACAAGTTCTTTAATGAACTATAGGAATCTAAAACAACAACAAATGAAAAAGTATAAGACATGCATTCAAAAATGTAATTTAGAACATTTCAATTTGTAATGCATTTTCTAAAATTGGTAATAAGAAAAAGAAAAAAAAAATCAATGCCTAAAATGACTACAGATGTATAGATTGGAACTTGTCTTTGTTAAGCCTATTGACGAGAACACTCAGAAGTAATGAAGGAATTATTTCTCACCGGAGGCTCAAATTCAGGCTTCTGCAACACTATTTCCTCAAATAAGCCTATAAATTCCTGTTTGTGCTGAATAAAGAATAGCAGTCAGAAAGTCAGAACTTCGAACAATTAACAAATGGCTTTACTACTTAAGTGAGAGCAAAACTGAATAAATCTATTTGTTAATGCATATTGAGAATAGCTAAACAAGTGTGTACTAACACCGAGGGTATTATATAAACATTATACATGTTAAAGCACTTCTTGAATATTTATTCAACTTGGTGATGCACATAGTTACATAATTATTAGGAAATGAACTTGGACTTCATCTTAGATTTAGAACTGCAACCTGAGGTCCTATATGACTATAACTTTTGGAAATTCAAACACTTACATTCAAAGGTAGGATTATGTAAGTATGTATACATTTGACGTTTTGGTCATATTGCATAGCAATGTTGTCGATTGAGGTTCGCAGAAAATGGCGTTTTGTTCAAATTTCACTAACCCTTAGCACAGTGGCGGATTGGTCAAATTTCACTACATTATAACGCTGTAGAGCTGCTATAGCCACTAATTTACTACACTGAAGCACACTGAAGCGGCAGCAAACCAACAATACCTGGATGTAGTCAATCCATCTCAACACATGTGGCAACTTTTCCTTGTTTGTATCTGGAAGACTGATCTGGCAATAAGCAACCAAAGACATCCCGTTAAAGCTTAAAAGTTTAATCATTGTTTAACAAACCAATTAAGTGTATCTTGTTTTGTTCTTAAAACTATACCAACACCTTCTCTTTATTACAAAGGAAAATAAAGATAACATTAATCTAACACAATCACTGATATAAGTTGTTGATATAAGTTAGATCCATATATATTGACAAAACAAGAAACATAGATTGTCATTAAAAACAAAACAAAACAAAACACTATTTTAGTTCAAGGGGAATATGTAGTAGTTATTTCTTCTAGATGCGTGGTAAGTACAGTGAATATGACAATTTGCGTACCAGGGAAGGATGAACAACTGAAAACACTATAACATCAGCTTCAGAGGGTTTCAATCCATTGCCAAGGAGCACAGACTTTTCAGAAAGTTCATCATTTAATCTCTTGAGATTCTCAAAGGACTCATCAAGAGCCACAGGAAAGGACTCTGCAAATGCTACCCACTTCAACACCTAAAAACAAAGAATATACCACTCAGAATTATTAACAGATAAAGTGCAAAACAAATAGATAATATCGAGCATATATTCCGAATTTAGCATTCAATATTAATGTTCAAAACCCATGATCAATTTCAAATGGATAGACATCACTTAACTACATGCAGAAGCATACAACGATTCCAGTGAAAGAACAAGAAGTAAAACAATGAAGATACAGTTACCTCATCAGAATGATTAACCTCGTGCCCAGATGCCGCAGTCATGCTTAAGTAAAGAGACTTAATATCGCCGTCTAAACTATCAGCTTGAATAACACTCTGCAAGCAATGATAGAAACATATGTATATCACAATCAAGTTGAAAAGAACCAATCTAATATTTTACTATCTATCAGTATTTCTTGAAGAATTTTTCAATTTTCAATAACAAAACTAAAATCTATTCATGATTCTGAGTTTATATCTAAGTACCATACGATAACAAGTGGTAATAGAAAGTTTGAGAGAAAAGAATAAGGATAATAGAAAGTTTGAGAGAAAAGAATGGACAGTAATAAATACATAACTAACTCGACTATCTAATGTGATTCTAATTTAGGGTTGACAACTTCATGAATCAAGAGAAAGAGAAAGAAACCTGTTAAGATTGTCAATACCGCAACGTTCTTGGTATGAATCTCGTGCTTTCTAGGTCTGAATAGAAGAAGTGAATATGAAAAGAAAGAAGAACAAACATTTTGTTTTATTTTAAGCGGTTCTTGGAAATGTAATGGGAGGCTGTACATATCCGCCGCAGTTTCCAGTTGGGCCAAAATAGAAGGCGGTTGGGCCAACCGTCTCAGCCCATTAGATTGTTTTAAGTGTTGGAAAAAAAATTGAAGGGTAAGGGCGGTTAACAACTGTCGCAAACCGATATTTACGGCGGTTGGACTCAACCGTCGCAGACCATTAAATTGTTTTAAGTGTTTGGCAAAAAAATAGAAGGATAAGGGCGGTTAATAACTGTCGCAACCCAATATTTATGACGGTTGGGAATGAAACCGTCGCAATATTTATATTTATTTTTAAAAAAATAAGGGCGGTTTCTAAAAACCGTCGTAATATTAAAATAAGGACGGTTTTCAATGAACCGTCGCAGCCTAAGTGTCGTAAAATGTCAATTTTCTTGTAGTGAATGTTTACTGGCTCAAACGCGAAATTTGCGGCAGCAACAAGACAATAATTAACAACCAATAATATCATAAAGCTTTTGGACATTAAAGATGAGTTTTGAAGTAATAATCCATACACTGTTAAAATAAGGCAACTTAATATGATCACTGCTTGGGAACCCGCAATGAAATTAAGCAAAGTATAAGCTACATCAATAAAAATGGAAGATCGTGATGTAGTAACTTACTATTTCTCAAGCTAGCAAGTTCAACACAATATCAACCCAATATGGAATTTAAACAAGTTCAACATGTATGGATTTAACAGAACATGAAACCATTAAAATTGCATTGAGGCACAATATCAATAACCACCAGCTGATACATATCAGTATCAATATACAGACGAAATCAACCAACGATAATTGTTTCCGATAACATGATAGTTTCCAATCACAAATTGAAATAGGAAAACAAATATTCGTAAGTATCGCAACAGCTTGGCTAGTATTGTATTCAAAATACTGTCATGACATGGTTGAAGCGAAGTCAAGTCAGATTCTTTGTCGCACAAAAGATAGATGGATATTGGATAACTAAGAGACATATCCTTTGTCGCATACCATTATTCTGATGGAAGCGAAGTCAGAGAATCAGATACTCCTGGAAGTCTTTGGGAAGGATCTCTGGCCGGCGTCCTAGGTACAGTCGAATCAAACTGTCCCACTCTCATTTTTTGAAGAGCTGAAAATGACTCTCTTTTCGCGGACATTGCTTCAAAGTATCGAGTGCAAGACGCCAATGCTACAGGAATAGGTCGTAGCATCTCCTGTTAAAAAAGAAGAATTTCGTTTTAGTCAGGATTCAAACTCGGGTTATCCCAAACAATTTATCCTTAATTTAGAGTTCCTTAACCACTTGAGTTTGTGTTATAATGGAAAAAGAAGAACGGTAGAAGCATACCCCCCAAACTGAAGGAGGTTCCTTAAAATTCTGACTCCATTGGAAATCTGCCACTGATGCTGTCAAGGCACCGTAGTCACTAGCGGCCTTCATCAGTAGTTCGGAGAATTCTTTCTGCGTGGATTAGAAAAGTTTAGGACACAAGCATTACAATTCGTGTTGACTGAAAATTCCACTCTAATAGTTTATCTATCAACAAGTTATGTTCACCAACCTGATATTCTGCTTCAACAGGAATGCAATCCAGGGAATATGGCTGTTGCAGACGAGCAATTATGCGGTCCTGCCAAATTTTAGAAATAAAATGATGCATGAAAGTATATAGGAATATTTGAATGACTTGGGAAAATTGAAATTAGGAAGTAATTAAACAAAAACAGCAAACAAGAGGAGGAGAAAACATAAAATGAGACAATATTTTCTAGTCTAAGTAGACTAATTCAATAAGAGACTATCTTAGTATGAGAAATGAGAAAAACAAGGAAGTGATTAGGTGAAGGTTACCTTATTATGAATAACATCTTTAAGAATAGTAGTAATCCTTGCCAAGGTTTCAATCTTGTTCTTCATTTCACTCACATGCGTCAAATGTGCAACATTTTTATCATCCTAAAAACATAAAAAGAAATATATAACTTGTTTTGCAATGTGGAAATCCAGATCCAAAAAAATGCAAACCTTTCGTCCTTGAAGTTCGACTTGCAGATCAGCAATTTTCCTTTGAACGGAAGTTAATTCTCTCAAAACCCTAATTAGGTCTTCACCCTTTTCACCGGTTGTTGGAGACGAATTCTGAGGCGGATCGTGGGGGGAAGATGAAGATGAGACGTTGAAACCGAGATCAGCGGCAATTGATAGAGCATCGGACATTCCTCCAATTCGCTTCACAGCTTTCCTTCCAACCCAACTCGATTCGTTTCCCATTGACATTTTCAACTTTCACTGCAAGGAGGGACCAAGGAGAACAAAACGAATGTCTTATGTCTGGTTTCTTTCTAGACTTTGATTTTTTGTTTGAATTCTAATTAGTGTTTTTCATAATTGAGATTTGAAACTTTTTCTTTTACATGTCAAACATAAAAATTTAAAACTTTTTTTTTTTACATGTCAAACATAAAAATTTAAAACATTATTAAAACATTTGACCACTTGATCTAACGGGCGCAGCTTTCCGAGGTGAGGCGTACCATAAACAATTTTGACAATCAACTTAATAAAGAATGTAAGTCTGATGTTTTAGGGTTTACAGTAACTTGAAATTTTTACGTAAATAATCAATTTTTTTTCATAAATACTCAAAGTAACTTTTTTTTAAAAAAATTTAACAAAAAAAATCGTTAATTTAATTGATGAAAGTGTACAAACATACGAGAGGACTCATCAATTCAATTTGTAATCGTTAATTTATTTATTTTTTCATATGTTTGTACACTGTCGTCAATTAACCATGTCATGACAGTATTTTAAAAATAAACGTGTAACTTGACCATCCATTCTGACAAGGTAGAAGCCGGTTTTTACTTCTAGTGTATTATTTGAAAAAGCACTTTGTAGAAAAAACTAATAGTTAGTTACTCTGTCATAATTGTTTTTCACAGACAGTAGCACTTGTTGGTGAGAGTGGAAGCGGGAAATCAACCGTGATTGCTTTGTTGCAAAGATTCTATGATCCTGATTCAGGTGTCATCACACTTGACGGGATAGAAATTCGCGAGTTACAACTTAAGTGGTTAAGACAGCAAATGGGGCTCGTAAGCCAAGAGCCGGTATTATTCAATGACATTATACGTGCTAATATCGCCTACGGAAAAGGTGGCAATGCAACTGAGGCAGAAATCATAGCAGCATCTGAATTGACCAATGCTCATAGATTCATCAGTGGCTTACAACAGGTCAAATAAGTGCTTTCTACAAACATATCATTTTTTTCTTTTGGTGTTGGTTAGTTTTGTTAACATTGTGTCATTTTGGTGGAATGTTTTGACTTTACGGGTTATGATACAATAGATTAACTAAACATTTCAAACTGCTAACAGTTAAAACATACATCTGAACCACATTCCATGACAGTTCAAACTAATTTCAAAATACACGGTAGAAAAATTAGCACACTAACTCTGAAGAAAAGACTAAATTAGCACACAGTAGAAAAATACACAGCTAGCTAACTTCTTTTTAAACCAAACAATACTAACATCACCAAGCACTAGTTGAATCACAACTTACATCTAATTCACAGCAGCCCTTTTAATTCCTTAACACCAATAACCATCTAACCTTTAACACATTTAGAATTGGACCGTTCCAGTTGTAGTTAGCCAAGTTAACACAAGGTCACGAGGAGTCAGCTGCCACCGACGCCAAGGCCAACTCACTACTGCATGCTCGTATGTATGTCAGAGAGACTACAGATTCTTACACAATTGCTACAGCTCCAAGTTTTGGATCGATTCTAAAAGGACCAAGTTTTATTTATTCAAGTTTTGGCAATCGTTCAAAGAGTAGTAACTCGGGCATAGATGGAAAATCTCCCTTTCTATCCGCTCATGAGAAAGATTCAATGCAAAATCTTGCTGGAGAAATATCTCTTGGTCATGGTTGCAGCTTCACTCACACAATTTTCAATGGTATGTAATTTTATTTGACATGTGTGTGTTCGCTAGCTATGAACATTCTAAACTCAGTTGCTTGAATCATTAATTATTTTGTTTGATTTTGTTCTGTCAGTTTGCAAATATATATCCAAACTTGGTTTCAATTTTGAGGTGATGCTAGCTAGGACTTTTCAGGGATTAATGTGATGGTTGGAGTCGGCCTTATATCTGCACCTTATACGGTGAAACAAGCTGGTTGGGCTAGCATGTTGGTGATGACTCTTTTCACAGTTGTTTGTTGTTATACAACCATGCTTATGAGACAATGCTTTGAAAGTAGAGAAGGACTCACTAGCTACCCAGATATAGGAGAAGCTTCATTTGGTAGATATGGCCGTATTTTTGTATATGTGAGTTTTTCTATTTCTTTACCATGAATTGTATGCACTGTTGTTAGTTGACCGATAGAAAACATGATTTACTTTTACTGAGAATGTTTTGCTATCAATGAAATATTAATCATCTACTGATATTATTTTTTGCAGATCATTTTGTACACTGAGTTATATGTAAGTGCTGAAACCATTTTATATTTTTTACATTTCCTTTGGATCCGCTTTGTTTAGTAACTCTGCGTTGTATGTTTAAGAATCTTTTTGCGAGTACAGTCATATTGTGTGGAATTCTTACTGCACTCGCAAATAAGAGATGGAAAAATGGCCCAACCATATCATCACATAATGGATAAGCAACAGATCAAAGAGTAAAAATGATTTTTCTAAAACGTCTCATTTTCTTATATTATTTATAGATATTATAGTTATAGTTTTAATGTTATGTGTTAAGAGTAAAAAAAACTAAATATGTGTTGATCTTTTTGCGAGTGCACTTGTTTGGAGTTCTTACTGCACTTATTGTTCTACCTACTGTTTGGTTGAAGGATCTCCGAATAATCTTGTATCTATCAGGTTCTCTAAATTCTAAAAGTGACAATTTCTTCTTTCAGATTTTGCAACTTACTTTATCCTCATTATAACTTCAATTTTGATTTTCAGTTGGAGGGTGTGAGATATTGGATCGAACTCTATTATGGTCGAAGTCTGTTCGCGAGTAATGCGTGTTGTAGTCGAAGTTTGTTCTAACATGCATTAGTCAATATTTCTAGGGTTATTAGCATGTTGAATTAGGTCTTGCTTGTAAGCTCAATTGTTTAAGTTAGCTTGTACCCTAAGTTAGCTTGTAATGGGTAATTGTTAAAAAGCCCATTAGGTTAGTGTGCTATTTTATTATAAATAGGATGTTGGTTTCTCAATCTTGGGATAAGGAAAAATAGGAAGATAAATCCTAATTTCAAGGGAGAGAGGTTATTTTGTTATTCTTGTATACTTGTAATCTTGTTCTAAGAGAAAGGAAAGAATAGCAGTTTAATAATCAATCCTTGTTGTTCCTTGGTGTTTTACCTTGTTTTTTTTGTTAACCCTAACCCTTGTGAGTTTCTTGATCATTAAGAAACCGTTTATACTTTGTTTAAAGACATCTGATTCACAACAGAGGGATTGTAGCAACAATATTGATTTCTACTTGCGTGTTATCGGTCGGGACAGCAGTTGGATTCCATCATACTGGTCAAGTGGTGAATTGGAGTGGCATTCCATTTTCTATTGGTGTCTACGGGTTTTGCTTTGCAGGACATTCAGTTTTTCCAAATATATACCAGTCTATGGCTGACAAAAAACAATATACCAAAGCATTGATAACATTGTTTGATACTTAACTTTGTTGTCGCCATTGTAACAATATATCAATTTGTTCTTTGTGAACCTGTTATTGCTGAACCCATTTCTTTCTGTACAGCTTTGCTTTGTGTATTTTGATATACGGAAGCGTTGCAGTCATGGGATTTCTCACATTTGGCGACAGCACTTTGTCTCAGATAACATTGAATATGCCGACAGGTGCATTTGCTTCCAAAGTTGCATTGTGGACAACAGTACGTTTCAAATTTTGTTGGTCTCTCTCAATGCTATTTTTATAGTTTCATTCTAGAGAACAAGTTATATATTCCTGATGTTGTTTTCCTTGATGTTTTTTCAGGTAATTAACCCATTCACTAAATATCCTTTTTGCATAGAATGAATGTTTACTACTACTATATAGCAAACAATTGGAGATGGTTTAATCCAATTTAGCAATAAGTTCAGGTTAACCTTTCCTTAATAATTAACAAATATGCTTTGTTGATGAATCCACTGGCAAGGAGTCTAGAGAAATTGCTGCCACAACGAATTTCAAGTACTTATTGGTGTTTTCTTCTTCTTAGAACAATACTTGTTGCATCTACGGTTTGCACGGCTTTTCTGATTCCGTTTTTCGGTAAGTCTTAGACTTCTTCCTCTGAAATACATTGACTAAGAGATACTATTCCTATTTAATTACATGATTTGATATGGTTATACGATAAATATAAAGATTTTGCAACTTTTGGTTGACTTATAAAGTTTAAACTTAGCCTCGAAAAAGTCGAGGCAAAATGTTCCTTTAGCCTCGACCAGGACCAAGGCTAAATATTATGTGAGCTTATGGAATTTGACTTTAGCCTCGGTCAGGCCCAGACTATTTTTTGTTTTTTGACACGGCTTCACCGAGGCTAAAGTAGACACGGCTAAACCGAGGCTAAATTAGACACGGCTAGACCGAGGCTACTGTAGACACGGCTCTTCTTGGCCGAGGCTAAATGTTAGCTTCGATCGTTATAGCCTATCTCCGACACCGACGCTACGCTGAGGCTAATTGCCTAGTAGCGACTGTTTTTTGCCTTATAGTGTCGGAAAATGGCCGAGGCTAAATACAGCATCTCTAGTAGTGGAGGTTGTCCTTGCTCACTCTAAGGTCATTTCCCACAGCTCATTGTTAGCTAGTTTAAGGGGTTTGTGCACCTTGGGAGCAAGCAAAACCAGCAGAGCAAGCCATCACCTAGGTTCATGATATCTTTTCACCAAAACTCCCTCCAAAAACCATTTATGCAAATTTGTCCTCACCTCTCATTTTTCCTATAAATAGAGGTTTCCTCTATGTTACTTCACACACCAGAGCTATCCAAGAAAATCATAAACTCATAGCTCTCCTCCTTCCTTCTTTACTTGTAAGTGAAGAAATTCTCCAAAACCACCAAATTGGTCACTTTCAATTTTTCACACCAATCCTTTGTCCAAACACCAAAACACTTCAAAGACCACATACACACCCTTAAAATGGCCATTTGAATCTGTTCCCATCATTACTTTCCTCAAAAAAATTCATCAATCTAAAAGTCAACCTTTATACCTCCATATTTTG